CGCCCTGCCGCTCCGACCCGAGGCTGGCAGCCGCGCGCTGCGTGCCCAGCGCGGTGGCCTCGAACGGCCAAGCTGCGCTGCCGAGCGGCGTGCGGGCCGTGTGCACCACGATCCGCTTGGCCACGCACGGCACATCGGCGGCCACGTGCCTCGCGGCCTCGGGCTCGGCCGTCCCCGAGGCGGCCTTGCCCGGCGGGCCTGGGAAGCGCGTCACCGTCGGGAGCCTTGGCTGCTCGGGGCAGGCCGCCCGCAGCGTCTCGGCCACCGCGCGCGCGCGCGCCCAGGGCGGCGGCCGATGGCCGCGCCTGCCGCTCAGCGTCCAGCGCGGCCGCGAGCGCGTCGCAGCGCTGGGACAGGGCCGAGCAGCGGATCTCCCACTTCGGCCCCGCGGCGTCGGCGGCGCGCACGGCCCGCGCTCGCGCTGCCGAGCGCTCAGCGCGGGTCCGCCGTCGCCGTGGGTCCGTTGGGCAGCCAGTGACGGCCGCCGCCCGTATCGCACTCCATCCCATTTGGAGCGCTAGTCTCAGCGCGAGGGACGACCAGCCTGCCGCAAACCTCTCTCGAGCCAAAACCATGATGATGATGCTGATGATGATGATGATGATGATGATGATGATGATGATGATGCTGATGCTGATGCTGATGATGATGCTGATGATGATGATGATGATGCTGATGATGATGATGCTGATGCTGCTGCTGATGATGATGAGGATGATGATGCTGCTGATGATGCTGCTGATGAGGAGGAGGAGGATGATGCTGATGCTGCTGCTGCTGATGATGATGATGATGATGATGATGATGGTGGTGGTGGTGGTGGTGGTGGTGATGATGATGGTGATGATGATTATGATGATGATGATGATGATGATGAAGATTCCGATGCTGCTGCTGCTGATGATTATGATGATGCTGATGCTGATGATGATAATGCTGATGCTGCTGCTGATGAGGATGCTGATCATGACGATGTCGATGTTGATGACAGCATCGCTTTGAACCATACTAGCCCTCCATCCGTGTAGCTATTGCACACTTGTAGACTGTTGGCCGTGCATTACCAGGCATTCTTAAGTGATAGTCCCCATGTAAACAAATATTCGACCTCCATCCGTGCAACGATTGCCCAATTTTACGCTTGGTGTTTGAGCTTGTTGAAGGAGTGATTAAGTCTCAGGCGATATTCCCGTTTTGGCAACAGCCCGCCTTCAAGTCGTGTTATAGTGGCGAAGTTCAAGCTTCAATATCGTAAACGGTGAGGAAGTCTCAGGTGAAACGCCTGGCCCGCCTGATATCGTAAACGGTGGGGAAGTCTCAGGTGAAACGCCTGGCCCGCCTGAACGACACGTTTGGTGGTGCGGCAGGGAGGATGTCTCTATATATGGAACAAGGGTGGAGGATGCGGGAGGAGGGGGATGAGCACGGTTCAGGAGAGGGAGGAGGTGGAGGGGAAGTGGATTTGGGGATAATGGGGAATGCTGCGGACGATTGGCGACAGTGGAGGATGACGGAGGATGATGGAGAATGTTGTGGGGAGGATGCTGACGATGCTGCGGATGGGGATGATGATGCTGATGATGCGGATGCTGATGATGATGATGATGGTGGTGGTGATGGTGACGATGACGATGAGGACGATTGTGAAGAGTAGTATGACGATGCTGCTGATGCTAATATTGCTGATAATGCAGCTGATGATGGCAGTGCGATCGGTGATGATGGCGATGGTGACGATGACGATGGCGGTGGCGATGACTATGAAGAGGATGCTGATGATGGTGCTCATGATAACGAGGACGAGGATGCAGACGACGGCGACGACGACGGCGATGGTGATGCTGATTGTGATGAGGATGCGGATGATAATGATGATGAGGATGCGGATGATTAGGATGATGATGAGGACCATGACGATGATGATGATGCTGCTGCTGATGACTATGACTCTGATGCTGGTGGCGATGACGATGACGACTGCGATGCCGATGATGATGCTGACGATAATGATGATGATGCTGACGCTGGTGATGCTGATGACGCTGGTGATGATGATGATGACGATGCTGATGCTGATGACGATGACGATGCTGATGATGATGATGCTGATGCTGCTGCTGATGATGATGCTGATGATGATCCTGATGCTGATGAGGATGACGATGATGACGATGATGATGATGGTCATTTTGCTGATGCTGCTGATGATGATGCGGATGATGATGACGGTTCTGATGATTCGCCTGTTGTTGGTTCTGTGATTGCCGCTGGTGCTGATGTTGTTGCTGTGGCTGCTGCTGCTGCTGATGATGATGATGATGATGTTGCTGAAACTCATGCTGCTGCTGATGCTGATGATGATGATGTTGATGATAATGCTGCTGTTGATGCTGCTGCTGCTAGTGATGATGATGCGCATGAGGCTGATGATGAGGATGAGGATGACGATGATGATGCTGATGATGATGATGATGAGGATGATGATGACGATGCTGATGATGCTGCTGATGATGACGATGCTGATGATGCTGATGCTGATGATGCTGCTGATGATGATGATGCTGATGCTTACGATCATGCTGCTGATGCTGATGCCGATGCTGACGCTGCTGCTGTTGATGCTGATGAGGATGCTGATGACGAAGATAATGATGATGCTGATGACGATGCTAATGATGATGCTGATGATGATGATGATGATGATGATGCTGATGATGATGATGATGATGCTGATGATGATGATGATGATGATGATGATGATGATGATGACGCTGATGATGATGATGATGCTGATGAGGATGCTGCGGATGATGATGAATCTGATGCGGATGCTCATGCTGAAGCTGCTGATACCGTTGTTGTTTATGATGACGAGGCTGATGCTGCTGATGCTGATGTTTCCGATTATGATGTTGACTATATTGACGAGGATGTTGGTGAACTTGATGGCAACGACGACGGTTAGGACAAGAATGTTGTGGATGATGATTCCGCTGCTGCTGCTGATGATGACAATGCTGATGCTGATGCTGCTGCTGATGATGATGATGATTATGATGAGGATGATGATGATGATGATGATGATGATGATGCTGATTACGATGATGATTGTGATGATGCTGACGACGACGCCGATGATGACGGCGACGACGACGATGCTGCTGCGGAGGATGATGATGATGATGATGATGATGATGATGATGCTGATGATGATGATACTGCTGCTGCTGATGATGTTGCTGCTGACGATGGTGATGATCATGCTGATGAGTATCAGGTTGATGAGTCGGACTATGATGAAGACGATGATGGTGGTGATGACAATGACGTAGTTGTTTGTGATGTCGATGGTGACCCTCTTAGTGCTTGTCATTGTGATGACTGTTCGCTAGAAGGATGAGGCCCTCGCCTGAGTGGCAGGCCCATGGTGTGCTGATCTCTCAAGGGGGCCCGCTTCCTGCCGTGAAAGGGAGGGCAGGGACGGGGACTCGGGACGGGAGGGAGTACTGCAGCATCAGCACTGCTGTTGCATCTTGGGTTCACTCTGGTTCTCCCCCTCCCTTCTCCTCCTCCTCCACCTCCTCCTCCTCCTCCTACACCTTCTCCTCCTCCTCCTCCTCCTCCTCCTCCTGCTCCCCCACTCCCCCACTCCCCCACTCCCCCACTCCCTCACCCCCTCACTACCCCACTCCCTCTCCTTCCCCCCGCTCGGTTGCAGCTCCTGGGAGGTTTCAATGCAGCATCGGCGCTGGTATATCCGCGGCCGAAACAAGCATACGCCGGCCTCAACCTGCTTGATCCAGCTCAGGCTGGCGTACCCGCGTACCCGTCGGTCGTTGAGAGTAGGTATTTCTGGATCCCCAGATCCCAATCTACTTTAGCCGCCTTCCTACTTCATCAGCCGAGTGGTTTTCCCTCTTCCGTCCTTTTCAGGGGCTGGGTTGGAACCAAATCTACCTCGAACGCCTTCCTAATTCATGTTTCTACCCACTTCTTCCGACCAACGGGTAATCCTCGGCTCATTCCGGCTAGATCTGGCCTGATGGCCCTTTGATGGGGCGGACTCGCCCTTGTACTGCTCGTTCTCTCGAAGACCTCCCGGCAGTCCAGCAGCTGTACCCCTCCCCCCCAGCCTGCCCCTGCGCCTCTCCAGTCGTGCGCGGCCCGCCGCCGCGGGGGGCCGGGAAGGACACCTTCTCCAAGGTGCCTGGCAGGCTCGGGCAGGTGGGGAAGGACCCGCGTGCGGCCCTTCCGCTCTCTCGGGCGTGGAGCGGACGGGCTCGCTCCGCCAGCCGTGTGTGTGTGTGTGTGTGTGTGTGTGTGTGTGTGTGCGTGCGTGCGTGCGTGCGTGCGTGCGTGCGTGCGTGCGTGCGTGCGTGCGTGAGTGAATGAGTGAGTGAGTGAGTGAGTGAGTGAGTGTGGTTGTGTGTGTGTGTGTGTGTGTGTTTGTGTGTGAGGGGACTCGGGGCAGACGAGGTGCAGGGGGAGAGGCACGGACGGGGAGGAGGAGGAGGAGGAGGAGGAGGAGGAGGAGGAGGAGGAGGAGGAGGAGGAGGAGGAGGAGGAGGAGGAGGAGGAGGAGGAGGAGGAGGAGGAGGAGGAGAGAGGAGGAGGAGGAGGAGGAGGAGGAGGAGGAGGAGGAGGAGGAGGAGGAGGAGGAGGAGGAGGAGGAGGGGCTGGGGAGCAGGAGGAGGGCCGTCCAGAACCCTCCAGAGTCCACCCTGGAGCCCCAGATTTCCTTCACGCCCTCCTGCTGTCTCCCTCTTCCCTTTCCCCCATCCCCTCCTCCGTCTCTCCCTCCTCCTCCTTCCTCCGCCCTCCTCCCTCCTCTCTCCCTCCCCTCCTTCCCTCCCTCCTTCTCCCTCCCTCCTCCCTCCTCCCTCCTTCCTCCTCTCTCCCGCTGCGGCTCTTGGCCGCCCGCAGCGAGTCCGATCTGGAGCACACCATCGAGCACGCGCACGGCGAAGCCGCGCGCCGTATCAAGGCCTGGATGGCGCACGCTGCTGGCGGATGGCGGCGGTGAGCTCGCGGACGGCCGTGGAAGTAGAGCACCCGGCCTCTTCGCCCGCTCGCCCGCCCTCCTCCAGCCGGGGGGCTTTGTACCCTCCTTGGTGCACTGATTCGAGGGACTTTGATTCGGGGGATACAGTCGGGGCGCTGAAGAAGGAACCCTTTTCGTTGGGCAGGGGCTCGGTGTTCCTTGATTGTTTTACAGTCTGCCTTTTGTTTTCCTTAGGTTTTCCATGGGAAGTCGAAGTTTAACTTATGGGAGAAAGAGGCCTTGTTCCTTATTTAGGGTTCCTTAGGTCAACGCCCCGACTGTACCTGCCTCTGTTCGGGTTTGCTCTCGGCGGGGCGCGGCTGTCCCCTGGGCCGGGGGCGCCACAAACAGGTACCTGAGCGTTCGGTGTGTGTGTGTGTGTGTTTTCAGGACTTCTCTGCACAGAGCTGCTTCATGACATCCCTCCTTCAGGTATGCCTGCCAGGACCGTTGGAGGTTTCCATTGCCCTCGGAGCCACCAACCAGCTGTACGCGGGGGGCTGGAACTTTCTACATTCCGGATCGGTGTATGGGTGTAACGGCCCATCCGCTGTTGAATCTCCGTGCCTTCTGTCGTACCGGCCTATCCGTTTTTTTCGGGTGTACCGGGCCACCCGCCGTTGAACGACAGAGGGGCTGCGTTGACGGGCTTTCTTGGAGGTCGGCGGCGGGGGGTTCGCGGAATGACGCGGAAGTGTTGCACTGGACGCGTAATTAAGGCACGAGTCATTTATGTTTCCTATTTCAGGTGCCCCCTGTCGGGACTTTTTGCGCAGCTCCGAGGCTCGAGGTGTCCCCCGCTTGCAGGACCTTGCCGTCGGGCATCCGCTTCGACCCTTCTACCCTCTTTCCCAACCCCACCCCGGTGAGGACCATCATAGGTTTCACACCATTGAGGACCATCATAGGCCTCACACCCCTTGCGGCTGACATCATAGGGGCCGTTTGGGTCGCCCTCTCCCACCAATGCACCAATACATTACGGCGTCAGTTGCCGATAGAGGGGGCCGAGGACCTCCCTACGGCCCCTCGGCCGCCACCGGAAGACGGCCGTGGGGAGGGGTCCGAACGTACCTCCACATCCCCACCCCTTTTAACGTATCAGCCCTTTCCTCATCTTCCTCCCTCCTCCTCTCCCCCTCCCTCCACCCTCCTCTCTTCTGCCTTCCTCCTCCCCTCCCTCCCCTCCCCTCCCTCCCTCCCCCCCCCCCTCCCTCTTTCCCATCAGATGCGCAATCCGAATCCTTCGCTCCCTCCCTCGCTTCCTCCTCCCTCCCTCCTTCCCTCCCTCCCTCTCTGCCTCTCGGGCCCTGGGTCCCTTCTGTCTCCTCGGGCGATGCCTGCCGCATCCTGTCACCGCCGAGGTCCGCCCGCCCAGGAGGCTTCCTGCCGCCTGGCTTTTCCTCCTTCCCCCACTGGTGGGGCACTGCCGACTGGAAGAAACCATGGCGCCAACATCGCAGAGCGGATGTCGTTCGGAAATCGATCGGACAGGCCCGGAGTGTCCTGGAGAATTTCGTTCCGGATTTCGAGGTGAATTTTATGTGGATGTTTGGCAAGGAACGAACGCAACAACAAATCCACGCGACAATCATGCCGTTTTTTACGCGCCGCTTCGGGCAGAAACCCACGCAGGAATCCACGCTGAGATCCGCTGCAGCACGTCTGCAAGGCCGGTGCAATGAGAAAAACGCTTCCCTCACTGATCAGGCACTGCTGACTGAGAATTCTCCCTGCCTCCCTTCGTTTCTCTTCCTTCGCATCCCCCCTCCCCTCCCAGCCTCCCTGCCTCCTCGTCTCTCCTCACTCTTTATTAAACAGCCCTGGGTGTTTCCTAAACAGCCCTGCCTTGTCCGATTCCTTCTTTGGGTGCGGCTGCTAAATGGCTTCGCTTGTCGGGGTGCTTATCCGTAAAGGCTTCCCCTACCGCCGGCCCCCTCTTTGTCTGACCAGGACTGTAATGGGCTGAGGGGGCGCGAACGGTCCTTTTGCTAACATATCCTAAGCTCGTAGAAAGTGTGAGACCAGTGATTTTACAAAGTTCAAGTTCAATGTTGCTGGAATCCTGCAGTTGGGAAGAAGCTCGGAAACAGTTTGGCGGCGAGGGACGGGTTCGGAAAACGTTCGGCGGCGAGAAACGAGTTCGGAAAACAGTTCAGATAGCGCTCGGCGGCGAGGAACAAGTTTGAAAGCAGTTAGAAAGTTCAAAACAAAACATTATAAGAGTTGGCAACACATCATAAGTTCGAAACCATTCACAACAGTTTGAAACACTTAACTATCGACACCAGTCAATTAAAGTTCAAAAACGTTCAACAGTTCAAAAGTTTGGAAAGGTCGTCGTTGTGCCAGAGGGCCGTCTTGAATTTATTTCGAACTTTGCGTTCTTGGGGGTTTCGAACTCGAACTTTTGATTTTCACTCTGCCCGAACCCAAACCCGAACTTCAATTTTTTCTCAGGGAAGACCATGTTTCCCCCCATCAGCCGGTTACAAAACTGGGATATATCAGGCACATCATGAGAACGTCATGCGGGGACGGATGGGACTCCTCAGCGCATATTGGGACGTTGGCGTTATCGAAGACGCCTACGGCGAATCACCGCCGCCCCCTGCCTTTTTGGAAGCGCCTATGTGGCCGAACGTTGAGGCCAGACCTGCCAAGCTATCGGACCACGTGTTCCCCGAATCGGTTTGGAAAGCCTTCGGGGAACACGTGGGCATCTTGAAGGTCATCTTGGCCGTCTTGGAGGCCTCTTGGGCAAGCTTTGGGCGATCTTTGGGGCTTTTTGGGCCGTCTCGGGCCAGCTTCGAGCCAACTTCGGCCATCTTGGTGGGTTCCTGGCACGTCTGAAGCCGTCGGAAGCCGTTTGGGGGGCCTCTATGGGCCGACTTGGGGCCCGCTTGGAATGCTCCAGGGCCGTCTTGGAGGCCATCTTGGGCGTCTGGGAGGCCATCTTGGGCGTGTTGGAGGCCTCTTGGGCCCTCTTGGGGCCCTCTAAGGGCCATCTTGGAGGCCACTTGGGCCATCATGGGGCTCTCTTGGGGGCCTCTTGGGCGATCTTGGGGGCTTCTTGGGCCGTCTTGAGCCGTCGGAGAGCCGAAAAGGCGCAAATGCCAAAATCCTTCAAAAACCAAGGGAAAATCAATGATTTTGGCCTCTTCGGACTCTCCTGGAGGACCTCTTGGAGGCCTCTTGGGCCGTCTGGGAGGCCTCTGGGGGGCCTCTTGGGCCGTCTTGGGCCGTCTTGGACTCTCTTGGGCCGTTTTGGAGGCCGTCTTGGACCATCTCGGGCGGACTTGGAGGCCATCTTGGGCCATCTTCGCGATTTTTTGAGGATGTCCCGAGCGAAACGGCCGTTTTTGGGCATTGACAGACGCATTTTGGGAAATGCGCGGGTGGCCGGCGGGACGGGCCGAAGCCCACTGGGGAGTTCTTTTAGAAAAAGAACCAAAACCAAAACACGCCGTGCACCCCTGCAAGCAGGGGGCGGCGGATCCTAGTGGCCTTCGGCCCATCCCGCCACCCTGCCTGGGTTGTGGGTCTGAGGCCTCTTGTATTTGTGTTGGGGTGTCGTGAGGAGCATCCAGGGGGCCTCTCGGAGGCGGTTTGGACGCCTCTTTGGGGCCTTTTGGGGCCTCGTGGGGTATCTTTTGGGCCTCTTGGAGGCCCCTTTGGGCGTGTCTTGGGCGCCTCTTGGGGCCTCTTGGAGCCTCTTGGTGGCCTCTTGGGGCCTCCTGGGGGTTTCTCGGGGCACAAATCTAGAATTTTCGGTTCGTGGTCTCCTGCTTGGGCCCCTCTTGGGGCCGTCTTGGGGCTCTCTTGGGCCGTCTTGAGCGCTTCTTCGGCAATCTTGGAGCTCTCTTGGGCCGTCTTGGGGCCCCCTTGGAGGAGGTCTCTTGGGCTGTCTTGGGGCAATATTGGGAGCTTCTTGGGCCGCCTTGGAGCGTCGGAAAGCCGAACACGCGAGAAGGCCAACATCCTGCAACAACCTCAGTACAATAGACGATTTTGGCATCTTGGTGTTCTCGGGAAGCCTCTTGGGGCGCTCTTGGGCCTCTTGGGGCCTTCTTGGGCCGTCTCGGAACCATCTTCGGGCGCCTAGGAGCACTCCTGGCCTCGGCAATGCGAATATGGCGTAAGTTGCGAAAGTTTATGGCCGCGGGGACGCGGATATGGTGTGATTTACAACGGTTTGTGTCTCGGGGGCGCAAACATTGCAATTTGCAGGGGTTATTTGCCTCCTGACGCGAATCTCGTATGATTTTCTAGGGGTAATGGCCTCGGGGGCGCGAATCTCATGATTTTTACATGTCCCACGCCCCCCCAGGAATTCAGGCAACGCGAACCAAGCGTGGTATATTGCTGGTTTGGGGCTCCTCCCCTTCGCGCGGACTTCAACAATTTACAGTCGTAAACAGAAAGCAGGATTGTACTTTTGGAGACTTGAAACTGCAACTGGCGCAGGGAGCAGCAACCTCGTCCTACAGCCTGGTGGCCCCACAAGGGGGCCGGCGGATCATGGGGGTGTTTGTTTCGACGAGGAGGAGGAGGAGGAGGAGGAGGAGGAGGAGGAGGAGGAGGAGGAGGAGGAGGAGGAGGAGGAGGAGGAGGAGAGAGGGGGGAGGAGGAGGAGGAGGAGGAGGAGGAGGAGGAGGAGGAGGAGGAGGAGGAGGAGGAGGAGGAGGAGGAGACAGCAAGCAGGGGCGGCCAGGCAGCAGAACCTGTACTCGTCTTTCCTCCCTCCCCTTCTCCCTCCCTCCCTCCCTGCCTCCCTCCCTGCCTCCTTCGCTATCCCCCTCCCCCCCCCTGCCTCCCTCCCTGCCTCCTCGTCTCTCCTCCCTCTCTCCCTCCCCCTCCCCCCTCCCTCCCCCTCCCCCTCCCCGAGAGGGGGTGGGGCGTCAGCCTCCCGACGTCCCGAGACAGGCCGCCGTCGACGGCGCCGTCTCGTCGGTGCAGGCGCCGCCGGCCCGCCTCTCTCCGCGCGCGCGCGCGCGCCGCCCCCAGAGCCACGCGGGGTTGGTCTCGTTGGGCGTCGCGGAATGGGGGGGCGATAAAAGTGTTGGCGGCGAGCGAGGGGGGAAGTGAGAATGTGAAGGCCCTCTTGGAGAAGGCGGCGGGGCGGGGCTTCTCGGAAGGCCTCCGGCCTTCGGAGAGGTCTTCTGTGACGTCGGGGAGGGCCTAGAAAGCTTCTCAGAAGGCTGTTGGACTTCCGAGCCTTCTGAGAAGGCCCGCCCCTTCTCACTTGCGGAGCCCCGCGGTGTTGGTCTCGCCAGGAGGCGCTGAAAGAGGAGGGAGGGAATACTAGAACGAATTTTTCAAAGCATCATTTCATGAGATCTGATTCCTTGGAGTTGCCATCGCTCTCCTGAGTTCGCGCATCTGTTTTGCGCCACCGTTACGATCTAGGCCTCCCGGATGGGGTCGGAGTAGATGGGGTCGGAGGATCGCGTCGCATCGCCGATGCATCGTCGGTGCGGCTCGATGTGGGGCCCTAGTGTCTCTCCGGTGGCGTCACCGATGCACTACCCAAGTCGCCGATGCATCGACGATGCGGCGCGACATTGGGCGTCGCGTAAGGAGGGGGGGGGGCGATACATGGGTAGGCAGCGAGGGCTGCCGAAAAAGGGCCCTTGAGGGCCCCCAAACAGGCCCTTCAGGGCCCCAAAGGCGCCCTTCAGGCCCGAGAAGGGCACCTTTCTTCCCCCCCTTTGCGCCGCCCCTCTTGGAGCGACGCCCGAGCTTCGCCGGGAGGCGCCGCAAGAGGCGGGAGGCGGAGACGGTGCGGCGGAAGGGACGAGGCGGCGGCGCGGAGCGAGCACGCTGCAGTCTCGTGCCCTGCTTCCTGCCGCGCCTCGCCCACAGCTGCGAGGCGCGACGCCGGAGCAGCCTCGGGCCTGCCGCCCGACGCAGGCAGCGCAGGGGAGCCGGCGAGGGAGGCAGTGCTTGACTTCTGGTGCTGCGCAGGCTCTCGAGTCGGGGCGGTGCCCGCGCGCCGCGCTGCCGTCGCAGCGGAGGGAGTATCGGGGGCGGCCAGGAGGGGGGTGATGACCAGGGGGAGGGGTGCAGTGGAGACCCATGTCAAGAAACACCCTGCTCGCCTTCAGGTTGCCCTGGGTTTCTTGGGTTTCGATGGTTTTGCTATGGAAAGCATGACGTTCCCACACCAAACATCGATGGACGTCCTGGGGTCGCGCAGGGCTCGCTGGCCGCGCCGGCGGTTCTGGCGGAGGAACGGGCAGAACAATGAACGAGGAGGAGGAGGAGGAAGAGGAGGAGGAGGAGGAGGAGGAGGAGGAGGAGAAGGAGGAGGAGGAGGAGCAGAGGGGAAAAGGAACAGAAAATGGCGGGCAGACGCCGACATGCAGGAGGAGAAGGGAGAGGCACTGGCAGCAGCAGGCAATCGCGCACGTTTGGGGCGGGCGGGGGGCGGGAGGGGGCAAAAGGAGTCGGCGGCAGTCGGAAAGGTCGTCGCTAGACTCCCTCCTGCTACTCTCCCTCTCTCTCTCTCGTACTCCATCCTCCTCCTTCCCCCTTGTCCCTTCCTTCCATCCGTCCTCTCTTCCCCTCCCTTAGGAGCTGCACGACATCTACGCTGCAGCCAAGAAAGAGATCCCCCCCAAAAGTGGTACGATCGAACACGAAGAGGGCAGGTCTCGAGGGTTTGGGATATACGTGTTGAGTGGCACGCGAGCAGATCAGAGCGAACAGTCCTGCAGTGATTGTTGTTGTTGTTGTTGTTGTTGTTGTTGTTGTTGTTGTTGTTGTTGTTGTTGTTGTTGCTGTTGCTGTTGTTGTTGTGGTTATTGTTTTTTTGTGTTGTTGTTGCTGTTGCTATTGTTCTTGTTGAACTCTCACTATTAGGTAATAATTGTTGTTGACTCCCCCTTCCGGTAACATATGTGTTCTTTCAATTGAAGTGCCTTTCCCGGAGATCGCACGCTGTTTTTTTTATCAGGGAGAGCCTTCCTCCTCAAACTGCGCTGTTGGCCCCCGACCTACAACAACAACGGCTCCGGCTTGATACTTCCTCACAATGTATTCCCAAATCGCGCTCTCGCGCGGGATTTCCTCAAAATGTATTCAGGAATCGCGCTCTCGCGTGGGACGCCCTCGCAACTTTTTCAGACGATGCGCCCTCGGCGCTCAGTAATCACGCTCTCGCTGTGGATTTCCTCACGGTTGACTTGGGAATCGGGCTGTCGCTCGAGACATCTTCGCGATTCATGCAGGACGCACGCTTCAGCAACCCGCCTGCTGGACATCGCCGCCTGGGCCCTCCTTACCGACCCGCCTGGTAGGGTCTACCCGCCCGATCTGCCCGTCTGGTTCTGCCACGTGTTTTCTGCTCCCAGCCCGCTCCTAGTCTCTCTCGTGCTCCATCCTCCTCCCTCCCCCTTGTCCCTTCCTTCCATCCGTCCTCTCCTTCCCCTGCCTCAGGGGCTGCACGAAATACGCGTAGCAGGTGAGAAAGATACACCTCCAAAGGGTTCCGTGCAAGACGTAGAGGGCGTGAATCGAGGGTTTGGGATATACGTGTTGATTGGCACGCGAGCAGATACGAGCGAACACTCTCAACAATTTTGTTGTTGTTTTTTGTTGTTGTCGTTGTTGTCGTTGTCGTTGTTGTTGTTGCTGTTGTTTTTGTTGCTGCTGCTGTTGTTGTGTTTTGTTGTTTTTATTGTTGTTGTTGCTGTTGTTGTTGTTTCCGTGGTTGTTGTGGTTGTTGTTGTGAGTATTGTTGTTGCTGTTGTTGCCGTTGTGGTTGTGGCTGTTGTTGCTGTTGTTGCTGTTGCTGTTGTTGTTGTTGTTGTTGTTGTTGTTGCTGTTGTTGTTGTTGTTGTTGTTGAATTTTCGTTATTTACAATCATTGTTGATCCCCCTCTGGTGACCATTGTGTTTTTTTTCTATTGAAGTGCTTCCCTGGGGCTCGCATTTCTTGGTTTTTGTTTTTCTTTAAACAAACATAAAAAATGGAAAGTCACTCGGCTCAAACTGGGCACCTGGCCCCCGGTTTACAACAACAGCAGCTCCCGCCTGATATTTCCTCACAAGTTATTCCCAAGTCGCGCTCTCGCGCGGGACTTCCTCACAATTCATGTATGCATCGCGCTCTCGCCTGGGACGTCCTCGCAATTTATTCAGACGATACGCCCTCGGCGCTCAGGAATTCCGCCCTCTCTGTGGATTTCCTCACGGTTGATTTGAGAATCGCGCTATCGCTCGAGACATGTCCGCGATTTATGCAGGACCCACGCTTCAGCAACCCGCCTGCTCGACATCGTCGCCTGGGCCCGCCTTCCCGACCTGCCAGCTGTGGATTTTCCTACCCGATCTGCCCGTCTGGTTCTGCCACTTGCTTTCTGCTCCTTGCCCCCCCCCTCCTGCTAAGTTCTCTCGTGCTCCATTCTTTCCCCCCCCTTCCACCCGTCTTCTTTTCCCTTGTTTTAGGGGCTGCACCAAATGCACGTGACAGGTAAGGAAGATATACCCCCAAGTGAGTACGATCGAAGACGGCGAGGGTGGGTACCGATGGTTTGGGATATACGTATTGATTGGCACTTGGGCAGATAGGAGCGAACAGTCTTAACATGATTGTTGTTGTTGTTGATGCTGTTGTAGTCGTAGTTGTTGTTGTTTTATGTGTTATTATTGTTGCTGTTTTTGTTTTGGTGGTTGTTGTTGTTGTTGTTGTTGTTGTTGTGGTTGTTGTTGTTGTTGAACTCTCATTTTTGAAGAATAATTACTGTTGATCCCCCCTCACCGGTGCATCATGCTTTTCTCAATGAAAATGTGCCTCTCGACGCTCGCACCCTGTTTTGTGACAGGGAAGATCTTGGTGCTCAAACTGTGCCCCTGGCCCGCCGGATTACAACAAAAACGGCCCCCGCCTGAGAATTCCTCCAAATTTACTCAGGACCCCCGCTCCCGCCTGAGACTTCCTCACAATTTACTCAGGATCGGTGCTCCCGCCGGTGACTTCCGTGCAATTTAGTCGGGACCCCCGCTCATATTTGAAACTTCTTCACAATTTACTGAGGAAAGGCGCTCCCGCTTTAGACTTCCTCGCAACTGAGTCCAGACTTCTTCGCAATTTAACCAAGACCCTTGCTCCCGCCAGAGAACCCTTCACATTTTATTCAGGGATTGCGCTCTCGCCTGTGACTCCCATGCAATTTATTCAGAAATCGCGCTTCGACGCTCAGGAAACACGCTGCGCCAAGGACGCCGTCACAATTTACTTAGGAATCGCGCTCTCGCCATACTCAGGCATCCCGCTTGAATGTCCCACCCGCCCGACCCGCCCGTCAGGGGATCGCCCGCCCGTCGTGGGCTCCCGCCCGAGACTTCCTTCAGGAACGGCGCTTTCGCCTGGGACTTCCTCGAACGTTCACGCTCTTACCTTCCTGCTCCTCCTCCCTCTCCCTCCTTCCTCCTCCCTCCTCCCTCCTCTCCTCCCTTTTCTCTCCCTCCTCTCTTCCCTCATCCTTTCTGCATCTCTGCCCTATCCCCTCTCCCTCCTCTCCCCCTCCCTTCTCCCTCCCCTCTCCTGCCGAAAAACACTGAAACCAGGAAGGTAATTATCACTTAACTCCGAAATTAAGTGATTTTCTCATTTGGTATTGCTACCAACTTCACGACGACTCACCTCCGCAGTTAAGTCACTCTATGAGTGCTGCTTCCACCCGGCCGCAAAATCACTTAACTCCGGAGTTAATTGATTCCGCGGGCCGCCCCTGCCCTTCATTCGGCCCGGGAAAAAGCGAAAATGGAGGGTTGCAAAGGGGAAGGACAGGGAAGGAAAAGGGTTGGAAAAGGGAAAGAAAAAGGGAAGGAAAAGGGAGGGAAAAGAGAGGGAAACAGGGAGGGAAAAGAGAGGGAAACAGGGAGGGTAAAGGGAGGGAAAAGACAGGGAACAAGGGAGGGAAAAGAGGTCGAAAAAGGGAGGGAAAGGGAAG